GTATTATATGTATTATATTATATGAAAATAACAGTAAAACCTATGGAAATAAAGTAAATATTTATTTTCAACCATTATTTTACAAACTAAATATTATCCATGGATATGGATAATTATAATTATTTATAATAAATAAATATTTAGATAGCAAAAACAAATTTACTTTTTTTATTAGGTTTTCACTAGTTTTGTAATTTGTGGTCCTTATACTCGCCAAGGGCGTCTAGGCGAAATAAGACATGAAAGCAGGGTCTAATTAAAAATAATTTACTTTTCTGCAATGAAAAATATATTTTTTACTGAAAAATTTAAACAGCCCATTTTAGGCTCATAAAAATGTCCTCTTAGGACAATAAATCAAAATTTTCCATTTTAGGCTTTTAGGCAAAAACAAAGGGTTGTCAAACGATTTATTTTTTTAAGTTTAGGATTAATTTCAAGGTCCCATGGGCATTTTTTGCAACAAATGCCTAAACTAGAAACAAAAAGGCATTTTGCCTAAAATCCGGTCCTTGGTAATTACTAATAGTTATTTACTATATTATAGCTATCTAAACAGTTTTTTAACTAATTTATCAAAAAAAAACTATTAGACGGAGAGTTTAAAAATTAACAAAACATGAAAATTGTCAAATTAATGTTTTAAATTAACAAAAAAATATTAATAAAATTTTTTATCAATAACAATTAATTAAATGAATTTGGTAATTTAATTGCTGTTGAATTAAAATTATATTCTATTTATTTTTTAGTTTCCATAAATAATAGTCTATTAATTAATATATTAATATATTAATATTAATATGTATACCTAAATAAATAAATAAATAATAAATATTATTTTTACAGGAATTAAAAACTTATGAAAATAAATATTTCACTATTTCATATACCTATTTAAATTTTTTGTACATTTATCCACTTTTAAACTCCATAATATGGAGTCTAATCTACTGGACAATTAAATAGTTGTAGAACCACAGTATACACCAGACAAGGTATAAAAGCTTAGACAAAATTAATGTAGATTATAAGATAATTATCTTTATTATTTTTTATAATAAATCTTATTACAAGTTTTGTGTTTTTTAATTTTTTTCCAATAGAACTACTGTAATGTAATGTAATGTGTATAAACAAATTAAAATTAAAATTCACTTAAATTAATACTCACAATTCTCACAACAAACAACCCGGGCCACAGCGGTAGCGAGAGCAAAAAGTGCAGTGTAGAAAGGGGTGTAGCACGTGCCGCAAGCGTGACAGAAAGGTCGCTCCCGCCGAGAGGCATTAGCGCACCTAGCAAAGCGGCAACGCTGTCAACGACTTTTGCGACAGTATTTGGAAAGTTAATTATTTTTGGATCCGCAGCACCCGGTGCTGGATCCAGCAGGTTCAAAAATGCGCTGGATCCAGCTGGATTGCTGGATGAGGGATCCAGCAATTGCGATCCCTAGTGCCTATATTTATTTAATAATAAAATCCTCGCTGGGGTTATAAAAGTTAGCTCGATTTTTTTTCTATTGTATTATAAGTTTTTGAACTTAAAAGTTATTAATTGTAAATTGACATACCTCAAAATTTGAGGCTCAAATTTCGCTAAAAAATAAAATATTTTGTTAAAGTACCTATATGATTGATGTTTCTCGTTTCGTTTCTTTGCAAAAAGGTTTTTATTCGCAAAATTATTTATTTTTATAGTAAAGTGTAAAAAAGGCAATTTTATAAGATTATTGACCAAAAACTAAATTTTAATGCATTGAACATTCATAAATATATATTATTTTGTGATGAAATAGTAGATTATGTCATAAGGAGTAGAAGTGACTCTTTTTGTGGTGAGTACAGAGATTGACGGCCGAAGCGTAGCTGAGGCAGGCAACTGTACGAAGCACAAAAAGAGCTTCTACTCCAAATAACATATACTATTTTTTTTTCAAGGGCGTAATATAAATATAATAAGCAAAATTTACATTAAATGTACAATTACACGCACTGCAGCTCTTCAATTAAATCATGTGGGATAAAATTTTGGCTAAAAGCATTAGAAATTATTGATAAAAACTAAAAAAACTTATAACCCTTACTTACAATGCCGATAAATATCCTAAACTAAAAATACACACAGCTCTGTCAAAATGCTGCGCTTGAATTAATTTTGACGTACTGACATTTGTTTGAAATTCCGACATTGGCGACTCGTCTATCATCATAATATTATACTAATAAACTAGTTGTTCTTTATTTCGTTCAATTAAAATTTAATAAATAATCACTAAATATTCCGTGCGATTATAATTAATATAATTAATACATCGTGATTGCTTAGTATGAAATGCTAAATTAATTTTATTATTTGACGTCTATTGAGTCACCTATGGATTTACTTCTATCCCTAGGCTTTTTTGAGTTTTTTGTCTGCCGCTAATGAAAAAGACGCACTTCAACTATCTCTATACATGCATATAAGGTTGTATATCATGGCCGCTTACAAAAAATCGGAAGGGGAAACATTAACTACTTTGCCAAAAGAAACAATTTGTAAAAAATGGCGTATATTAATTTATAATAAATAACACAAAACTCAAAATATAGTATATATAAAGATATAAAAGAAAATTCGAGGTAACTTTAACAAAGTAAGGGTTTTATTATTAAATTATTATTTATTATTATTATAGGTATACTTTTAGGAAAAAATCAGGTTTCAAATTGGTCACCCCCAAATTTGCCGCATAGTATACCTATACAATGCGACAAATTTGGGGTGACCAATTTGAAATTACATATAATTGACATTTTGTGAAAATGTTAACCATAGTTAATAATAATAATAATTATTATTATTATTGTAGCTTATTATACAAATTTACCATATCTTAAAGATAATATTTTTTATATTTTAAAACCAGTAGATCCCTAAAACATTAGAAAACTATTTATGGTTGTTTTTGTATAATATACAAAAACCACCATAATCATTATTTAAAATTCACCAAACTGCTAATTAGCAGTTAATTTAAACCACATTTATTTTTATTGTTTATTAGTTGGTACAGTTTGTCATATCCCTAACCTAGTCACTAACTAACATTTTATAAATGAGCTTAAAATTAAAATAACTAAATGCAAGCAGAAATTTATTTACTTATTTATTTTAATTTTAGCTTTAGCAAATGTTAGTTAGTGGCTTGCAGGGATATGACAAACTGTACCTATCAATAAACAAATACAATAAATATGGTTTTAATTATACTGCGGTGTTAAGCACAAAGGCGGTAACTGCAAAATTAAGTAGTAAATAGTAGGGTGAGTAAAAAAAACTAACCTATTGAATTTATGGGTTAAAATGAACCTACTTATATACCGAGAAAAAAATGCCCCTGCAAATCAGGATTTTTAGCTCAATTTTAAAAGGTGTCGGTGAGCATTTAAAGTTTCCCATTTAAATAACACGTAAAAAAAATCTTCTTTCATTAAAAATACCATATTTTTGAACCGTTTACTATAAAAATTTTTACGTCGCGGATTCTTGTAGAACATACAATTTCCTAAAAAAATCTACTCCAGGATTATTTTTTTCAATTAAAAAATTCGTATATTTGAAAGCTTTGAAAAGTGCAAAAAATCAAAATATTCAGTTTTAGTGATTTTTTATACTTTTTAAAGCTTTAAAACATACGAATTTTTGAATTGAAAAAATAATCCTGGGATAGATTCTTTGGGAAATTTTATGCTCTACAAGAATCCGCGACGTAAAATTTTTTATCGTAAACGGTTCAAAAGTTATGGTATTTTTAATGAAAGAAGATTTTTTTACGTGTTATTTAAATGGGAAACTTTAAATGCTCACCGACACCTTTTAAAATTGAGCTAAAAATCCTGCCTTGCAGGGACTTTTTTTTCTCGGTAGGTACATAGGTTTATTTTAACCCATAAATTCAATAGGTTAGTTTTTTTGGCTCACCCTAGTAAATAGGGATCCCGAAATACTGGGATCCCGAAGAAAAAACCTGTCTCGAAAATACCGGGACAAGATTACCTAATCCCGGGATTAATACCGATTTTGTATGCATATATTAATTAGCTTACTTACACTATTTCAAAATTAAAGTAATTAACGCGAAAGCTGACAACGTTGCAACCTGCACACTTAAACCGGAATTTGGGGATTCACCGCGGCACAATAATTATAATTTACTCGCTTAGATTAGATGTGCCCTCTGTGATTAGATGTTGTATTGAATATTTTATTCAAAGAAGAAGAATTTGTTAGTTATTTTGTAAAATGGATCTAACGTGCCAAGAGGCTAATAAAGAAAAAGATAGGTAATGCACCATTTTAATTTTAATACTAAAATAATGTAAAGGACAAACCTAATGGGAGTTTGGACTTCAATGAAAATATCTGAATTTTGGATATGTTGTAGTTTATGATCTATTGATAAACAGTTTTTCTGGTACTAAGAAAAAAATTTGAACAGATTTAGAGCTATTGAGGTTAGAAGGTCACGAATCTGAGAGGATTTTTATGTAACAAAATACGTTCGAGGCTGGGAGATGAAACTTTAGACGCACTAATATTTTTGCGGTATTTTTAAAAAAATGTATAATCCTTTAAGTTCGTTTAAGAGTTTTTTTGTTAATTTTCTTTTTTTACAATAAAAGTTTTTGAATGTTTGTTGTTAACATCCAATCCCGAGATTAAATCCCGGGATCCCGGGATTAGTATACTATTGTACCAATCTCGAAAATCCCGGGATTACAAAAACCTTTCGGGATTGACATCCCTAGTAGTAAATTACTTAATTTTGCAGTTACCGCACGGCAGTATAGCATAATAACATAGTCAAATGTTAATATATACCTATCAGTAAAATTAAAACTTATCTTAAATAAACAAATACACACATATCGCAAATATAGTTAGGCTGTTTACACTAACGTAAGTTAGTTAGTTGTTTTATATTTTAAAGTTAAACTTATCTATTTTCTAATAGGGAAATTCAAATAGCCTCCGGAGAATGGATGAATGAATTTGTAAGAAGACCCAGCAGGAGAAGAGATCATATTGTTTACGTCCCGGCTGCTGACATAATAAAAAGAACTATCAGAAGGTCTTGGACCATATCAAGTAAGAATTTTTTAATTTAAACCTATTTTTTTTATTATTTTATTTTTACGTATTAATTAATTATTTAATTGTGAAGATTAATGCGTTTGTCTAAATCTTTTTCGGACTAAAATAAATAGTATTTACATAAATTCTGTTATAAACGGTCAAACAGTAGGTAATACCTACTAGGTATTTAGTAAGAAAAATGTCTCTATTAAAATACCGTTTTTTCTCTCTCTTTCTCCCTGCGAAAAATAAGCGTTCCCTAGTCGCAATTCGTCGATAATAGCGAGATTTTTCTAAAATTATATTTTTAATTTGATAACAAATTTATATTTTTGCCGGTCAAATTGTCAAAATATAAAAAGAATTAGAAAGAAAGAATAATAAGTATTTATTATTTGTTTAAAAACTATGCGTAAAAATCTGCGAGGTCTTTTTATAGTACTTAGTTAATACTTTCAGTGCGACAGTACCGAAGCTATTTTGGTATTATATGGTATGTATCTAGCAGCAGAGACAAGGGATCCCTTGTCTTTGTATAGCACTCTCTTAGAAGTTTAGGAACCTTCTGAATGTTAACGTCGATCACACAGCAGCTTTGTGAATCGAGCTCTTTGCATACAGTGTGACCCATTTGTTTGCGACTCACCCCTGTAAAATCTTTATTTATTGTGCGATTTTAACCGGATTTGTAAGTATAGATCTTGATAAACTGTATTTTTGGAGCAAAAACCACCATATTTTTAGAAAATACAAGGCCTACTATGTCAGTTTTTAAGAGTAAATTTTTAAAAGTTGTCGATTAAAAAAATCTATGCACGGAACTGGATTACCACTCCTCAATACGACCCTATACTAAATTTATTGAAAAGTAGGAACGATTTTGTAGGCAAAACAAACAATAATAACTAATAAAAAATTTATTCTGTCAAATTACCTATTAAAAAAAAAAAAAAATTAATATTTCATTACCACCAAGTGCCAAACGTGACTGGTGACTGGCTAAATTTCACAAATACTAGGTGGTTTCAGTATTTTTCAAAATACTAGGTGCACCCAGTATTTTCTAAAATACTTGGTAGACCTAGAATTTTCTAAAATACTAGGTGGACCTAGTATTTTCTGAAATCGACACCTGTAACTGTTATTCGCTTATACCTGTTCCAAAATACCTGTTCCTAGTATTTTCTCTATTTTCAATCCATTCTGTTAGCTCGTAGAAAAAGTATAGTACATAACTCCAGTTGTAAGTAGCAATGTTATATACACATGTTATATAAGTACTAGTTGTATTGCCGAACTCGCCTGCGGCCAGTGCGCAAATTTCCAACTCGTGGTATAGCTTACTTACAACTATCGTTATTAAAGGAGTTTAAAATGAAAAAAAATAAGGTTTATGATAACAATTTAGAAAAAAAAATAATGGAAAAGGTCAATCTTGACAGCACACCATTTAAATAATAAAAAGTTGATAAACAAGCTTATTAATAAAATATCTTGACTTGATTGACAAGCTGGATTAATAGTTCTTCAATAGGTTACAGTAACTCCCTAACTTTATATTTATCGACTTGTATTGTTTTTCGGATACCGAACATTTTCTTTTTATTTTCTTGAAATTGGGTAAAGTTTTAAAAAAATACTATTTTTCTTCGATTTCTTCGATTTCTACAAAAAAAAGTTATTGATGCAATATTTTTAGGGATAAACTATAATTTAATATACTATAAAAAACCTTAGGCGTTTTTAAAAAATTAAAGTTATCCGAAATGTACAATACAATATCATTTTATTATCACTTTTGAAGTTTTAATTTCCATAAACATTAGCATTTCAGAATAACTAATGGCATGAATTTGTATCAGCAACAATAAAATAGACAAAATTATGCCGTAAAATCGCAACTTTTTTAAAATTATTTTAAGTAGGTAATATGGGTATAATATATTATAACGTGTGGGGAACAAAATATTTATCATCCAAGTTTCCAACATCTTCCCACTGAAGTTGTTTTAGTGCTTAATATTATTACACTAATCTAATTACAACTGTCTTTTCAGATCCGACTCCAAGATGGAAAAACATAAGAGAATTGCATCAGCATAGACTGTACAACAGCCTTCCAAAAGGCCGCAACTTAAGCGACTATCCATCCCTAGTGCAGAATCGCGCTAAAGCTGACAAATTGAAAGATGAGGTGGTCGACACCACTTTTCGAAGAGCGAAATCGGAAGACGTTCCCGCGAACTCCGAGCCAGAACTAGAGAAAGCCGTTCAGGAAAAATCGGAACCGATGAACGAAAAACCAAAGGTCCGTGAAGTGCGAGAAAATCCGCTTATCAAATATTTGGATAATGACAGGAAGGCAAGAAAGAGCCAGAAACTGAAGAAACAAGATTCAAATGTAAAGGAATCGACAGATGCTCAAAGTATTGAAAGCAATAAATCAGGTTAGGATTGATTTTACCTTAAATTGTGAACCTGATTCTTATTCATAATTCAGTCTATATAATATATATATATATATATATATATATATATATATTATAATATATATATATATATATATATATATATATTATAATATATATATTATAATATATATTATAATATATATATTATAATACAATTACCTGGAAACACAATTGTGTAAAACCAAACTCACAATAAATTTTAAAAGTTTAGCACAAATTTGACTGGCCAATTCGTGTCGTCTGTCGTCTTAACTTAGCTTGATATTGGTGTTGTAATGAAGGATTTTAAAAAGAACTGCTGTTAGTTTTTCTATAATATATGAGTCAACCCACGTCAAGTGGGACCAGAAAATTTCACGAAAGCACAGATTTTGAAAATAATCACATTATTGTGTAGTAGGCATATGACACAGTAAAAACTTTGTTTTGAAATTCGGTTTTTTATTAATGTTATCAAAGTTAATAATTTTGTAAAACTTTAGAGCACGGTAAAATTGAAAAAATAGAATCTCTGGGACCACTCTGTATAATTAAATTAAATTTTACACACTATTGTAGCAATGTTTAGACTATACAATGATCATTTAATTAAGATAAATTTGTTTAAATAAAAGAATTTTGTATATATTTATTATAAACAATTGAAATTTTGTATGTGTTCTTCACGCTGAAAAAAAAAATAATCTTGTGTCATAATATGCGGCAAACGTTTCCGTTTAATAAGATGTACTCAAAAATTTGTCTTTCATATGTCATTCCGAGGATATTAATTTTTTTGTCCCGCTGTGCGCTTGATCAGTACGCGGCGCGCTTCGTTGCTAGCTCGTCCGTTCTAACGTTTTAACGGTGTGCCTGAACGTCTCCTAAATAATATACTCCAATTTTATAAAAATCGGTGTACAAATGTGTACTCTGTCAAAGGTAGACTTTGAGATAAAAAAAAAATCAAGAATTTTCGAAAAATTTCGAAAAGAGGAGCAGCTAGGATTTTGGTAAATATCATTTTTAAGTCACCAAAGGGTCCCTAACAAGAAACTGCAATCAGTTTTTGGCAGCATTTTTATGTGACTTAAACCTCGTTCAGGCACACCGTGTGCTGACGAGCTAGCAGCGAAGCGCGCTGCGTACTGATCAAGCTCACAGCGGGATAATAAATTTAATATCTCCGGAATGACATATGAAGGACAAATTTTTGAGTACATTTTATTAAACGGGAACGTTTGCCGCATATTATGACACACGATTTTTTTTTCAGCAGGAAGAACACATACAAAAAAAATTCAATCGTTTATAATAAATGTATGCAAAATTCTTTTATTTAAACAAATTAACCTTAATTAAATGATCATTATATAGTCTAAAAATTTCTACAATAGTGTGTAAAATTTAACTCAATTATACAGAGTGGTCCCAGAGATTCTATTTTTTCAATTTTACCGTGCTCTAAAGTTTAACAAAATTGTCAACCAAAAAAAACAAATTTTAAAACAATTTTTTTACTATGACATATGAGTTATGCCTACTACACAATATTGTGATTATTTTCAAAATCGGTGATTTCGTGAAATTTTCTGGTCCCACTTGACGTGGCTTGACTCATAATTGGAACTGGCAACTATAGATTAGAGAAGAACTTCGACCAAAGGGTTTTGGTCTTTAATACTATATAATAACATCGACCTGCCCAGAACGCAGCAAGGTAATGTTTGATGAAAATTGTTGCACAGTGATTTTTCAAGTGTCAGTTCTTTGACTTTACTAAATTTCGAAATGGATTGTTCAGTGGGACTCCGACCATTTTCATATAAATGCCCAGATAGCACCATTCGTCCAATGGACGTCCGTTTAAGATCCATTTTAAGTACATTGGTCCACGGACTAAAAATGGATGTACTATGTACGTCCATATATTTACATCATTTGTTATAATTATAATTCATATTTTTCAAACTAAAAAGTTGACGTGATATTTAGTATCTCAAAACAATAAAATTTTTCAGGAGGGAAGTCACCATTAATAAAATATTGTTTTTTAAATTTTATATTTACTTTTGGCTGCAATCGACAAAATCCATGCCCAGTGAAATTTTCTTTACACCATTTTGTTATTTTATAGGAATATTGAATATATTAAAAAATGGTTTTAATAAAAATTGAATTAGTTTATTTTAAATTTTGCGAATTAAAAAAAAATTAATACGTGGCCCCCCAAAGGGGCCATCTTTTTTTAATTAGTAACCCCCTTTTTTACAACAGAATTTAAAAGAGGCTTTTTTATTACAACAGTAATAATATACCTATGTTACATAGGGATGTTTGAGCAAAATGGCCTAGAATTCAAAAAAAACTTTATTCAAAATGATGCATAAAAACAAGAATAAGATAACCCAAAGTACTTAAAGTAAGTGTTCAAAATGTTCGCCGTTAACGATTTTCAAATTCTTGATTTAACATTTTGCAGCATCTTGAACATTATGAATTTCATCAACTATCCTTTCTCTGAGAACCTAAAGATTGTCCTAGAGACCTAGCAGGCCACTCTATTGGCCCTCGTCTACCAATCCACCTGTGGAAATATCTGAGATAAGTATCTTCTTACTGCCAAACCAAAATGTGGTACCGTCTTGCTGGAACCAAATGATGTCGTCTACTTCATTATTTTCCCCAGGGTACAATAAATTTACTGCTGGAACAATATCTGTCTGGAGAAGTTCAAATATTGAAGTTGCAGTTAAATTGCCCTCAATAAAAAATGGTCCCGGTCAATTATTCCTGCGCATTCATTTATCTTTTGAGGGTGCTGTGTGGGTGTCTCCTCTTTCCAATGCGGGTTTTGGTGGGACCAGTGTAGAACCGTTCATCATGACGTGCCATGGACTTATCCGAAAATATTTTTTTTTCTTGAGAAATTTGGATCCTGATTTCATCAAAATTTCAAAAAAATCACTCCTACGATCAAAAACTTGCAACAAATGCACTTTTTTTTTCTTTTAAATAACCTTTGCAGTGACGCATAACTGATATCGTTGTCTCAGGCAACCCCCCGACAAGAAACTGTAGTTACTTCATTAGCACATTTAGAGCAACATTTTCAGCAGTGGCAGATTTTGGTCGACCGCTTGTAGTGCTATTTTCATTCTTTCGCTTTCAGATTTTTTTTTACAATTTTTCTTAAGCATGATTGTATCAGAGGCTTCCTTTCCGGATTCGTGGCGTTAAATAATGCACATACCTCTTGCTGATTTCTTTTTCGGTTACCATACCCAACTATCATTAAAACGGTAGCTATTTATTTTACTATTTGCACACTATGTGAAAATTACACTGAATGTCGAATTAAAAAAAAAATTACGGATAAAGGCTTCAAAAAAAATATAACAAAAAACTTTTATACAAATGTAAATAAAATGTAACGTTTAACGCTCAGCCACCTGATATAATTTCCATATCGGATCAATATTATTACAAAGTTGTAATTAGAAAAATAACCTCTTTCAAATTCTGATACAAAAAAGGGGGGTTGCTATTAAAAAAAAAGTTGGCCTCCTTTGGGGCTACGTATTTATTTTTTGAAGTTGGCACCGCAAAATTTAAACAACTTCATCATCATCATTTTTTATTATTTTTGATATTTCAAAAATTTCACTTAATATTGCAAACTTTTAAGCCACCCGTATAAAAAATAAAAAATATTTTTATAGTTTTGCAAATAAGAAAATATTTATTCAACAAAATATAATAATTAATTGAAATATGTATTCTATGGCCATCCTAAAATTTTAATTTATCACTCGTTAGAGAATAATTAATAGTTTGACACGCACGGAAGTACCAATTTAAGTAATCGTCATAATATGTATAATTTATCTTTATAGAAACATTCTACCATATGTTTTGTTTTTCAGAAGTTTCTTCCACAAACTCCTCTCCAGGACCTAGTGGTAAGTTAGAAAAACGCGTCAGTTTCTACACTACCCAAGCTAATAATGTGGCCAGTGTTCTTCGTACGCAATCATTGAACGAAAGTTCGAAGAGTACCACAAAATCTCTTCCACTGGGATCGAGATCGTTGCCTGAAAGAACATTGGATTACGAGGATGCTGTGCAGAAAGGAGAAGATGTGACCACCCACTTAGAGATGTGCGATATCGAACCTTTGAGCGGAACAGTATTTAGAAAGGTGACCGTGAGAAGGAGGAAGGATAATTTAAAAAAGATGTCTGCAGTTGACACCGGTAAGTTAAGAATTTATGATATGTATTTGCTTTGCTTTTGCTTTTTGATGGTTGTAGATGGTGATAGGATGGTGATTGGTACGGAATGTATTAAAGCGCAAATTAATAGTTTAAAGATTTAAATAAAATGTTTGGTTTTCAATACAATACAATACAATCTTTTTCGTCGAATACGCTTTTCCACTGCATTAATAAACCTATTAGATTTGGCATCCTATATTAAAAAATTAAATTAAATAAAGAAAATAATTCTTTAAGAAATTTAGAAATCCAGTAAAAACGCCCGTTTTACAAAGTTAACTAATTAGCTCGTTTTATTAAGATATTTTACATTTTATTATTTAACTTTTTGGTTTATTTTTTTATATTTTTAGAAATACTAAAAAGACCCAACGCCGGGTCATTTAAACCTAATTTTTGGTTGTAGAATTCACTGGTGTTATGTTAAAGTTAGGTCGTTTTCTCTTGATGAATTTTGTGTACCTTTTTTTATTTTTTAAAGTTAAGTCGTTTTCTACAGATATTTAAAATTTTGAGTTTGTATCTATTTTGATTCTTTATTTTGCTAATTTAAAACAAATACACAATAATCCCTCTTAAAATGTCTTTATTATTATTTGTTTTAATTATAATTAACGTTTTTGCCAATTCTAGTTAAAAAATCTATTAAAATTTATTATCTCTAAAAAATATAAGAACAAATACTATAAAACAACAAATGTATTTATTTATTTTTATTTATGAATAATAAACATTTTTTGTCAGTTAAAGCTATTCAAATTAAGTAATTATTTAAAAATATTATATTAGAATTAAAATATTAAATATTAAAATATTAAATTACATTAAAATATTTTAAAACCTTACTAAAACATTAAATGCCTTTATTAATATTTATTTATCAATATTAAACATTTTTTGCCAGTTCCTGGTCAAAAAATATGAAAATAAATTTATATTAAAAAAAAATTAAAAAAACTTACTTACCTACGTAAAAAAATTAAAAAAACTTACTTACCTACGTAACAAGTTGTGAGAATATTAAAAAATGTTTAACTTTCATAATTTTATCCCTCTTTGGAGATTGACACACAAAAATCAGCAAGCATCGAGTCGGATCTTTTGCCAGAAAACCGATTTTGGAATGACATAATAGTTTTATGAAATCGTCCACCAGCTTCATCGGATTCGGTTGAAAGTTGTTTTTCATAGATATCAAAAAGAGCATGCAAAATATGTATTTTTAAAGACATATGCTCGCCGAACATACTCTCTTAAAATGAATTAGTTAAAAATGACTAATTGTCATTTATAGCGAAAATTCAGCCACTAATGATTCTCGTCAATAGCAATTTGTATCCCGAACATTTAGCAGTCAGTGGCGGGATACGTATAGAACCGAAAGGTGACCTTTCAAAGGTGGTAAAATAACCCTAGAAGATCACTGTAAGGCGTAGCCGGTGGGGCCTGCCATACGTTCTTATACTCATACTTATACTCATACTTATAATCATACTCATAAATATGGACAAATCATAGCAACCCTTAATGTACTTTACTATGAAAGAATAATTTAATATACTAAGAGCTTTAAAAACAGAAAAATACATGTATTATATTATTTTCAGAAAATAAGAAGAAATAAACATTAATTTGAGCAACATAACCTCAATTGTTTAACTGCATTCCTTATTTAAATGTCAGTTAATTTTTTTGATGTGGAAAATAGTACATAGGTGTTTTAATAAATTTTTATGATTTTATAATATAAAAATTTAGTTATTAACAAATAGACCGAGTTTTATTAAAAATGTAAGAAAAATTAAATGGTAAATGAACGGGAAAAATTAACTTATCTTTGAGTGTAAGCATACATCCATGCATGGATTTGAAAAGTGCATTTTTAATATAAAGAACGAACGAACCCGGTAGAGGGAACTTTGGGTTAAAACGAACCAACTCAAATAATATCTCGAACCAAAGTCATAAGTATGTAAAATTTGTTCATTTTTTCCAAAATAACAAACAGAGCGAACCATCGTTCATGGTTTATTACGGTTCGTTATAAGCGATTGCTTCTCTAACATTATTTGCTAAGGAATATTTAATGAAATTGATCGAATTAAATTAATTAATCTATTATTTATTCATCAATTAATATTTTAACATATAATTAAATTTGGGTCAAACAAATTAACCGATATCAAGAAAATAAAATAGCTATTGTAAAAATTTGGATTTGGATTTTTTTACATTCATTCCAAACAACTTACGTAACTACTATCATGAAGTCCCTACTTACCACACTAAAAAAAAATTATTAAAAAAATTAAATCTAGTTTTTTAAGTAAGGCTTAAATAAAATACAAATGCAATTAATGAAGGTTTTATTAAAAAAAACAAAATTTTACAGTGACAAATCACGTCAAAATGACGTCCCAATTTCCATGCTGCTGATTATTTTTTTTCAATTTTAACAGAATGATAGGGGGCATTATCCAACAATAACAATGTTCTTTTTTAATTTTGGTAAAACATTTTTTATCCAAGCCTCAAAAACATTTCCATTCATATCCTCATGATAATTCCCTGTTGACTTTCACTCAAATACATTTAAGCCACCTTCCACAAACCAATATGGGTGGTAATAAGCCTTTTACCTTTGCTTGAAGGGTATTTTAGTCCAGTCGATAACCCCTTATTAAATGCCTCCCTTGGGCTTTGTGTGGCATGCATTGATCCAAGTCCGACCCATGTAATATATTTTTTGATCTTGTAATCGGTAATAACTCCTGATATTATCAATATATTTTCTTCTCCAAATTACTATTTTACTTTTTCAACCAGTAAATGATTCCTATACCTTTATATTATATTAAATGAAATAAAAAGCATAAAACTGTTGGCACAAGAGGTGAATTATATTATTTTATAAATTATAATATACCAGTGTACAGTGTGTCCCCGGATCGGATTTCCAATAGGAAAAACTTTTTTAGACCTGATACTCCAAACCTAGCACAGATTTGTAATCTACGACCAAAAATTATGTTAACGTGTCCGAGCGTTTAGCTGTGATATTTCCAAAGTTAAAAATTTACTTACAGTGTAATTATTAATATTCTATGATTTTACTAATTAATTCTTTGACAAATATTGTTCAGTTCACAGTTTTCATTAATATTTAACGTTAAAGACATAAAATTATAATTTAGATTAGATTATTATTAGATTAGATTTGTTAGCAAAAATGTTGGAGAAAATAGTTAAAAATTAAACTCAAAATGCAATTTTAACACAACCATAAATATATTTTCCACCAGTTTAAATTGTTTAAGTCAATGTAGCTAACTGCGACCTGATTCTTAATAAAAAAACGAACCGTAATTTTAAAGTTTACTATCTCCAATAATTAACAAAAAGAAAAAGATGGTTTAATTAGAGACCTCTGGAAAAAAAGTGATAAGCCAAAATTTGGCAAAATCTTAAGTTTTCTTAAATAGCCTTGAATTGACCAAATATTATAACATAAATTTTAAAAGTTAATAAAATTACTTATGATATTTGGTATAGTCGCGACTATGGTATTTTAGTCATTTAATTTTTGTAAAATTCCCTTTTTCCCCCTTAAGGCCTTAAATTTTAGCATTAAATTAAAATAATCCATCTTTTGTATAATGCCATTTAGACGTGAACATATCTATATCTATGTAAGATTCAGTTAGTTAGAACTATAAAACCAGGTTTCATGATTTGCATATTTTAATTTGCAATAGCTGCAAAATTTTAAAATATTTAGACAAATAACTTTTTCTTTCTTGGTTAAAATAAAAACCTATGTTTTCTTAATTTTTAACGAGAGCTAGAAGAGTACCTAGAAAAATACCTAATTAAACTAAAACACTCTTATTGTAAAAGTTTTTTTTAAATATATATTAAGCTTTTCTTAAGTCGGTTAAATTTTTTTAATTAAGTTATTGCTAAACCATCGACGATATTTTAATTTGATTGTTTTGTTTTTTTTTTGATAATTTTTTTTTTCCAATTTGATTGATTTTAGTTTAATGTTTATACATTGCTTTACAATCTATAGTGGTATCACAACCTAAAAACATGATATACATGGTGTTTCACATTCGTGGTCCATTGGAAGTTTCTGGGAAACGAAAAAAGATATCGATTTGAAATTTAAAAACGCTTATAATCCGTTTAAGTCTATTTTTGAAAATATAGCATGTCCTATACCTAAAGTGAATAGTTTTAGAGTCATTTGTTTCGTTAAAATTTGACAAATGCGCGTCAATCAAAAATAGCCTATAACTTGTTTGTTATTAGGTTTACGGATACCCGAGAAAACTCAGGGCAAATTGGGCTAACTTGAAACGTTAATAACTTTTTCTTTTAAATGTAACACCCGGTATGTTTTTACCTAATCAACTAGCAAATTAAATCGATTAATGTAATTATTCCTTATTCCTAAAGTTAATAATTTCAGAGATATTTAACAATTTCTAAAATTTTAAATATTATTTTGTACAAAGAAACTCGTGACGGGTTACCACGTAATCTGTAATTGTTAAGTTTTGAACAATGGCGTCAATTTTTAAGGTTGTTGACTAATTAAGTGATTTGTAAACCAAATTACTAATAAAAAAGCAGGCAGTAAATTAAAAAAAAAATTGACAAGCCAAACGTTTCTAAAATTTAAAAGTAATACAAATAGTATTTGCTAATTTTGAAAAAAGTCAACAAAGTTGTAGAATGTCAACTAGATGAAGCACTAGCTCATTGGAGACAATAAAATATAAAATTTATTTTATGAAATACCTATTTGAATAATTTAATAAACCAACAATATTTTAATTAATAATTTTTATTACTAATTTACTAAATGTTCATAGTGTCCTTCATTTACTTTTAGGTAAGCATTTCTTAATTCTTACTTCTACATTGGACGTTGCTCTTCTTGACTATTCTGGGTCTTATAGAATCTGTTAAAC